TGGGAGGGGGGTGCGTGTATGTGTTGTTCTGGGTGTGGTCGTGGTGTGTCTGCTTATGTGTGTGTCTGGTGTGCCAGAATGAGTGCGTGTATGTATGTATTTGTGTCAGTATGAGTGTTGTATGTGTGTTGTGTAGATGTGTGTGTTGTGTGTCAGTGTGAGTATGTGTATGTGTGTCTTTGTGTCAGTATGAGTATGTGTGTGTGTGTGTGTGTGTGTGTGTGTGTGTGTGTGTGTGTGTGTGTTGTGTGTGTGTGTGTGTGTGTGTGTGTGTTACAGTGTGTATGTGTTGATGTGTGTTCTTTACAGTCATGTGAGTGCATGTCAGAATGTATCTGCGTGTGTCCTAAAATAAATATTTTCTCAACATAGCTGTGAATGCTTTGTCTGTTTTAATGTAAAAAGTATAACGAGCAAGACAAACATGCTTCTTTCACTGTCCATTGCGGGAAGTAATTGGCTTTTTTCTTTGTGTCTGGAAAAGAAGAAAAGGAAAGAATCGAGAAAGAGATTCGCGAGAGAGAAAGATCTCACTTTCCATTTCTCTTTCTTTCTCTCTCTCTCTCTTTGTCTCTTTTCTCTCTCGTCTCTCTCTCTCTCTCTCTCTCTCCTCTCTCTCTCTCTCTCTCATCTCTCTCTCTTCTCTCTCTCTCTCTCTCTCCTCTCTCTCTCTCTCTCTCTTTTTCTCTTCCTCTGCCTACTCTCACCACGCTTTTTTTTCTCCTCAATTCCTTGCCTCTCCCTTTCTCTCTCATATATATACATATATAATATATTATATTATATATATATATAGATTAATATATATATATATATATATATATATAATATATATACATATATATACAAATATATATTATACATATACATAATATACAAATATATACATATATATATATTTATATATTATATATATTATATATATACTATATTTATATATTATATATATAGAGAGAAGAGAGGAGGATGAGCAGAGACGGAAGAAGATTGAGATGAGGAGAGATGAGAGAACAGAGAGATACTAACATACTAATTATATATGTATAATTACTTATAGATAGATAGTTAGATGAGAGATATTTATATTTTATATAATTATACAATTTTGTGTATAATATATATATAGTGATATATATATATATTATATATATTATATATATTATTGTATATTATATACATTTATATATATATATTATATAATTAATTTTTTTGTTAATATACCCAGATACATATATTATTATAATATTATATAATATAATATATATAGGTATTATATATATATATTATATATAATAATTATATATGTAATAATATACTCCTTACTTTTGTTTCTATATATTGTGTCTCCTGGCTAGATACTGTGATATATATTATAATATCATTCCCATAATATTCATTCAATTGATGTACATCTATAGTAAACAGAAATGTAAGAGAGAACGTTGCGTAGTGTGATATATTATATTACAACAATCTACAAAAGCCTCTATCATACAATTCATAATTAGTATATACTATCCCTATTATATACGTATATTTAATAATAATATATATATAAGTATATAATGTAAATATGTATGTATTATATTGTCTATGATAATGAATATATAAATACGTATATATAATTATAAAAATGGTGATACGATTAGTATATAATAGAGTTTAATACTTTCGTGACTAATCCCCTATATATATAGTCTGTACAATAAATGCAGATGTTAGATATATATGCACAATATATGCAGTATGATATAACGAGTATACGATACATGTAAATATAATATAATATAAAAAATAATACTGATCATTTATTTTATTTACTTATTCATTTTTAGTTTTATTTTTTAAGTAATATACGTATTTCCTTTACTAATTGTCGATTATTGTGACTTTATATCCTCAATGTAAATATGGCGATTGTCTATAGTTATTAGCGTTATTAGTGTAATATTAATACTAATTGTGGCAGTCAGTGAAGGTATATATATTGTGTTTAGCTAAGTTGTAGGATTTTTATATTATCTTGCCTTTATGTATTAAAGTTCCTAGTCTTCCATTTTTCTAGGTTTTTTTTTTATAATGAATTAACGTCTTGTCAAATTAAGGACTTTAATTTACTTCTTTTTTTATCAGATTCCTAGTTCTTCTCACTTTTTTTCTCTTTTTTTATTTATATAACTAGTATAGCTTGATGATCACAAGGATGAGATATTATAATTATATATATATATATATATGTTATTATATATTACAGTATATAGTATACATATATATATATATAATTATAATATATATTACATATATATATAATATATATATATAATATATATATTATAATATATATATATATATATATATATGTAGGGGAACTATTTAATGGCTGTTTCTGTATTGTCTAGTTATCTATCTATCTATATCTAGATCTAGCTTCTATATATCATTTATCCGATCTTTCATATCTATCTAGTCTAGCTAGTCTATCTATCTATATATTATTATA